CACAAGAATGCCAGTATTGACCTAACTCCCCCAACCACCACCTGAGTGGACCAATGAAGCTCCAGGAATGCAGCTAAGGTCCTGATAAGGCTATAGTGGGGGACGGCCCAAGCCTCAGAATGTGCTGGTCACTTCCTGACCTTTGTGCTGTAAGACCCTGATGAAAAACCCTGACCTAAATGACCAATCTCTGTAACCCACGTCACCCCCTAAGCCCACCCAAATAACTAGCCCTATATAACCTTTGTTCTCCTGGGACATGCTCTCTCGCCTTACCGCTGCATCGGACAGAGGCTGGGAGCCAAACCTAGGTTGGATTAATAAGATTAATAAAGACTCCTTGCTTTTGCATCGGAAGAGGCGCCCTGGTGGTGGATTATTGGGGACCCCGAACTCTGGGCATAACAAGAACCACTGCTTTAGGGACATGTTCCCTGAAGCTCATTGATGTTCTTTCATTTTTAGATGTTATTTGTGTTTCATTCTGGAGAGTTTCTGTTGTGAAGTCTTCAAATTCGTTAATCTTTTTTTTTTAAATTATATTTTTATTGATTTTTTACAGAGAGGAAGAGAGAGGGATAGAGAGTTAGGAACATCAATGAGAGAGAAACATCGATCAGCTGCCTCCTGCACACCCCCTACTGGGGATGTGCCCGCAACCAAGGTACATGCCCTTGACCAGAATCGAACCTGGGACCCTTCAGTCCGCAGGCCGACGCTCCATCCACTGAGCCAAACCGGTTAGGGCTCGTTCATCTTTTCTTAATCTAATGTGCAATCTGTTGTTAATTCCATCTAGTGTGTTTTTCATTTCAGGTGCTGTAGTTTTTATCTCTAGTTCAATTAGAATCTTTTTCTTTTATCATCCATGTCTATACTTAACTTTTGGAATATGTGAGATACAATTATAATGAACTGTTTTAATTTTCTTGTTTGCTAATTCTAACATATGGACCATTTTTGGGTTAACTTCAGTTGATTGATTATTCTCATTATAGGTCATGTGTTCCTGCTTCTTTGTGTGCCTGATGATCTTTGATTAGATGCCAGACATTGTAGATCTTAACTTGTTAGGCTGGTTAGTTTTGTGTTCCTATAAAAATTTTTTTCTTCCTATAAATATTCTTGAGTATTGTTCTGGGATACAGCTAAATTACTTGTAACTCGTTTGATCCTTTTGGGTTTTGCTTTTATGATTTGGTAGGTGGGTCCTGAACAGTGTCCCAGCTAGCACTCATTATTCCCCACTATTGAGGTAAGACCTTCTGGAGTATTCTTCTCAATGTCCTGTGAATGATGGGTTTTTCCTAGTCTGGCTGGTAGGAATAGTGGGTACTATTCCCAGCCATGTGAGCGATGGGCATACTTCTCCAATTCTTTTGAATGATACTTTCTTCAGACTGGGGTCATTTCCCCAGGCTCTCCCCTTGGGTTCTCTATCCTCTGACTCTAGCCAGTTGGCAACCCCCTACCCACCACTCAGCTCCATCTCCTCACCTCAGGCAATCTGCTGACTCTGCCTAGGTTCTCTCTCCCAGCACCTTGGCTTGAAACTCTCAAGACCATAAGCTGTGGCAGTCCATTGAAGGCTTCACCTCATTTGTTTCCTGTCTCACACTGTCATTCATTGCATGATACATTGTCCAGTATTTTGAAAACTGTTGCTTTATATATTACTAGAGGCCCAGTACACAAAATTCGTGCACTGGGGGAGGCGGGGGTGGTCTCTCAGCCCAGCCTGTGCCCTCTCGCAGTCTGGGAGCCCTTGGGGAATGTCCGACTGCCACAGCAGTGGGAGAGCCCGACTCAGGGCTTCTGGCTGAGTGGCACACCCCCTGTGGGAGTGCACTGACCACCAGAGGGCAGCTCTTGCATTGAGCGTCTGCCCCCTGGTGGTCAGTGTGCATCACAGTGACCGGTTGGTCATTCCACCGTTTGGTCGATTTGCATATTAGCCTTTTATTATATAGGATGTTTGGTCTGATTTATTCATTGATTCATATGGGAGGGAAATCTGGTCCATGTTTGAGAGGAGGCAGAAGTCCTACTTAATAAATATTGATTAAATAAATTTTCTACATTAACTCAGACCTGACCCTCTCTGATTCCTGACATCTGGTTCCAGAACTGTGGTCACAATGGCTAGCACACAGTTTACTGAATGAGTGAATGCAAGAGTACTTGACCTGTGCCTTCCGACCCCTGTCCTTGTTCTCAGGGCACTGCACTTGGCGGTGATTCATCAGCATGAGCCCTTCCTGGACTTCCTCCTCGGCTTTGCAGCTGGTACTGAGTACCTGGACCTGCAGAATGACCTGGGCCAGGTGAGCCACTGGAAGATAGTGTAGGGCTTGGGGCCAGGATTCTCAGTGTGACTTCTAACACTTGCGCTCTGCTCCTGCAGACAGCCCTGCACCTGGCAGCCATCCTGGGGGAAGCATCCACGGTGGAGAAATTGTATACAGCGGGCTCCGGGTTGCATGTGGCAGAGCGTGGGGGCCACACAGCGCTGCACCTAGCCTGCCGCATGGGGGCACATGCCTGTGCTCAAGTGCTGCTCCAGCCCCGCCCCCAGCACCCTAGGGAAGCCCCCCATATCTACCTCGCTCAGGACCCTGACCACACCCCTGGCACCGACCACACCCCTGGCACCGACCATACCCCTGGCACTGACCACACCCCTGGCACTGACCACACCCCTGGCACTGACCACACCCCTGGCACTGACCACAGTGCTGTTGCGTTGTACCCCAAACCCGACTTGGAGAAGGAGGAGGAAGAGAATGAGGACTGGAAGCTGCAGCTAGAGGCTGAAAACTATGAAGGTGAGAGTCCACATTACTGAGAAGGTCCAGGTGACAGCACCTGGCTTTGGGCTCAGCTCTCCTGACTCAATACCCAGCCCCTTGGGAAATAATACTGAGGCTTCAGGGACCCAGGCATTGGGACCAAAGACTCCTGCCCAGACCCCAGATTATTGAGAATTGGCTGTGTGGGACCCAGAACCCCTACCTGGAGGCTCCAGATCACTAGGAACCCACATGCCTAGAGCTATTAGGCCAAATCCAGTGGTTGGGCCCAGCCTCCCCAGCCAGAAGGCACAACACATCCTGGACATCTCCCTACCCCCCAACCATGGGTCCCAGCCCACCTAGGGTAAGGAAACTCAAGGCTCAGGCCCTCTGTGAAACTCTGGTACCCCAGGTTCCAAAAGGTTGACACCGGAGTTTAGGTACAGCCCTCTTCAGCCAGTTCTACCAGGGCCTTGGTGTCTGAGTCTCGGCTCTCCCATCTCTAAGCCCAACTACCCGGGACTGGCCCCTTCACAAAGGGACTGATGTCATCCAGTCAGTGTTCAGGGTCCACCTGAAGCTCACAGGTCTTTCAACCACCCAGGACCCAGGAATTTGAGTTTCAGGTTCTTTGTGAAGTAAGACCAGAGACTTAGGTTTCCTGTTCCCAAGATCCAGGCCTCCTGTCCGTAGGCCCAGGATCTTCAGCCATAGGCCCACAACCTAAGCATTGGCACTGCCAGCCAGTTCCAGTTCCCCTGAGACTTAGGCATTTGCCATGCAGATGCCTCTTTGACACACCCAGGAAGTCAGGGTCCAGACCCCAGACTCGGTCACCCTCAGGCCACAAAGCCCTCCCCCAAGCTGTGGCATTGGGGGCCCAGGTCTCTCAGCCTCCTTGTCTAACATCACTCTGTCCCCAGGCCACACCCCACTCCATGTGGCCGTCATTCACAAAGATGCAGAGATGGTCCGACTACTCTGGGAGGCCGGAGCTGACCTAAACAAACTGGTGAGCCTCCCTAGGGAGGAGGTGTGGCAGGTTGGGGGTTGTCCCAGATGGGGCAGGGCCCCCCCTCTGACCTCTCTGCTACACCCACAGGAGCCCACGTGTGGCCGGAGCCCCCTGCACTTGGCAGTGGAGGCCCAAGCAGCTGATGTGCTGGAGCTTCTCCTGAAGGCAGGTGCTGACCCTGCTGCCCGCATGTACGGCGGCCGCACCCCACTGGGCAGCGCCATGCTCCGGCCCAACCCCATCCTCGCCCGCCTCCTCCGTGCACATGGTGCCCCTGAACCCGAGGATGAGGACGACAAGCCTGGACCCTGCAGCAGCAGTAGCGACAGTGACAGCGGGGATGAGGGCGTGAGTCAGGAGGAAAGACTGGGAGGCTCAGCTGGGGGCTCAGGGTAGATGGGCCGGTGGGAAAGGGAATAGAAATTAAGCGGCACATTGAGACTGACCTTGGGCTGCTGTGATTTGAGAACTTGGGCAGGAGTGCAAACAGTGCAAGTACCTGGACAGGGGTTGCAGGGAGGGAGAACTCAGGTAGAGGCAGAGAAAAGATCTCAGTTGTAGTGACTGGTAGGTGAGCAGCAGTGATTCAAACACTGGCAGCAGTGGGAAAGACCTTAGGCAGCGGTGAGGCTGCCGCTTTGGAGAACCCTTGGGCAGGCAATGATGTTGCATGGTGGGAGCTGAGGAATTTGGGTAAAGGCAGAGGGAAGGAGTGGAGGAGGGAGACCTCAGTGGCTGTAGAACTGGAGAAGCAACTGGGCTCCAGCTCCAGCAGGAGTGGGGAAAACACAGATGACCTTGAAAATGGTGGATGGAGAACTAAGCAGGGAAGTTGAACTACGAGTGGGGGGAAACGTGGGTTTCAAGGCAAGACCAAGTCTTAGGGCGGGTGGGAGAAATGGGGCAGCGGGCCAGGTGGCAGCCACCTGAGCCCCTCTGCCTGGCCTCCTCTGCCCCCAGGATGAATACGACGACATCGTGGTCCACAGTGGCCGGAGCACAAACTGGCTACCTCCTACCCCAGCTTCAAAACCTCTCCCTGATGACCCCATCTGACTTGTTAATAGAATTTCTAATTAAATAAAATCCTAGTTCTGACAATCAGAGACTAGATTGGCTGTTGCCTTCCCAGTCCTCCAGTTTACTCCTGGGCTCCATCCCTCCAAAATTGAGCGCTACACAGTAAGCCTTGGTGGTTTTCTTTGTGCTTTATTCACTCAGAAGGGTTGGAGTGGGTTTCGTGGGTGGCAGAGTGTTTTTTGAGTCAGTCTAAACCCATCCCCTTATTCAGGGAAGGCTTGGCCCCTCAGGCCTGGTTCCAAGGCACACCCTTCTCCCATTCCTGCAGGTTGGGGAGAGGCAGGGGCTCCAGATGAGGTGGGGGTTTTGGGGTCACCAGTCCTAAGCCATAGGGTGTGCCAGGAAGGAGGACATGAGGTCGAGTCAGCCCTCCCTCCTGAGCTCTTCCCCCAGCATCTCCGCTGCCTTCTTCAGCTCCTCTCTCACGTGCTCCAGCTGCTCCACATCCTGCTCCTGGTGGGATCAGAAATGGGTGGTCAGCGCTCACCTCCAAAGGCAGGCCACATCAGTGGTTGCCCATGAATGTGGGCCATGGCAGCTCGCACAGTGGCAGCCAGCAGCAGTCATCTTGGTCATCATGGGCTGTGATGGTGACCACAGTGGTTGCTATAACCCTGGAAGAGTAACGTGACCAGTGGTGAGGTCTGTGGTGACTGCCATAGCCAACAGCAGCAGACACAGGACTAGCAAAGGTGCCCAGCTTGGATGCCATGACCCATATCGGGGGATGGCCATTTTGGTTGCTGCCATCAATCATGGAAGCATCTTACTTTCTGACCCAGCAATATATCCATCTATAGTTCAGTGAATCAGGCACCGCAGCCTTTTCATGGGGCCAGTTTGCTCGGCAGGGACTAGCAGTGGTGGCTAACTCAGATGCTCTGTGAACTGATGGTGGCCATCTGGGTGACTGTAATCAGAAGGAAGCCTTCTTGGTCAAGTAGAGGCCCTTGGATGTTGCTACCTAGCCCTGGTGTCAGTCCTGGTCACTGTGACCCAGTCACGGTGGACCTTGCTATTTAAGGCCCAACACTGGCAGGTGTTTGGTAGGAACTCCACTGACGTTTGGTCCACCCTGCTCCCCACTGCCCCCTCCACTCACCTCCCTCTCCAAAGCCTCTTCCTTCTCCTCCTGCTTGGACTCAGTTTCTGGCTGGCGGCGGTGGTGGTACAGCGAGTCCTTGTGCCTCTCTCTTCCCCTGCCCTTGGCCCCCTGCCACAGGCTGCTGCCCCCACCCAGCACATGCATGCCCTTCTCCTTGGCCTTGAACTGGGCCAGCTCCTCGTCACTGGCCTGCTCTGCCACCTGCTTCTGGGGGTCCCCTCCATCCTCTTGCCACCGCTTCCACAGGCCTTCGAAGGTCTCCATGGGCCCCTTTTTCTTTTCCTCCTCCTTCTCCTCCTCCTCCTCCTCTTCCTCCTCCTCCTCCTCCTTCTTCTGTGCCTCCTCATGGTCCTCTTCCTGGCGGAGCCGGCTGTGGAGATGCTCGTGCATGGCCTGTTCCCGCACCTCAGACTTGTGGGTCCTCTCTGCTGCCTCCTCTTCCTCATCCCTCACTTCCTGGCTGGACCTCATCTTCCCAGCCTCCCGCTTCTTGAAATCGCTAACCAGCAGGCCTTTCTCCTCAGTGGACACACAGCTGTAGGGCTCTGTCTCACACATCTCTGGTGGGAAGAGAAAGGACACTGCAGCCAGTTGGGGAACATCTGGAGGAGTTCTGGGGCCCTCCTGAGGTCCGCAGGGGGACTGCCCAGAACCGGGAGGAGGGTCAGGGCCCAGGGACACTCTGCCCCCCTCCTGTACCTCTAAGGAGCCCCAAGGGTGGGCTGGGGACCAGGCTGGACACTTTGGGAGAAGGGAGGGGCATGAGGACTTGCTGCACCACCACCTCCTCCGCCAGCCAGAAATTGAGCCCAAGCAGAAGGAAGAGGCTTTGGAGAGGGAGGTGAGTAGAGGAGGCAAGGGAGGCCCTGGGATAAGAGAACACCTTCCAGGCAGCCCGGGGCAGAACTCTGGGTGGGGTGGGCTCCCAGAGGAGCTGGAGCCTGGGTCCCCCTTACCTTTGTGCAGGAGAGCCATGCAGGGGCCTCGCTGGGCCTGACCCAGAGTCAGCATTTCTGTGACTACCTCTGCCAGACAGCGGGTCAGCTGGGGGTGAAGGGTCAGAGGGGAGGTTGAGGGGAGAGCAGATGGGGGTAAGGAGAGCAGCTGGAGGGGAGGTGATGTGGAGGAAGCTGGGCAGGGAGGGCCAGGGCTCCAGGGAGATGAGGCAGGGCAAGAGGTCCACACTTCTTACCTCCTCCTTGGAGGATCTTGACGCCAGAGGAGCAGCAGTGGCTGTGCAGAGGAAGGAGATGGGAACTGGGCTTGGGACCCCAGCGCTGTCCCTGGTGCTGATCCCAGCTCCAAGGGCGCCCTGATCCCTGTCCCCTCCCGAGCCACCTGCCCCATGTACTGTCCTCACCAGACAGCTGGGCCCATGAAGTTTCTCATCCGACCCGCTGGGTGTACTGTCCCAGCCCCCAGTCACCCTGCTCCCCAGCCTGAGGTGCCCCCTCCCTGGTTCCTTGCACTCACACGCCCCCAGCAGCAGGGACAGTGACAGCAACAGCAGCACGGAGGGCCTTCCATGGCACTGCATGGTGGTGCTTCCCAATCAGGGTCCTCAGCGCTAGGGTGGCAGCTCCTTATAACCCATTACCCACTCCCCACAGGGAGAAAGTGATGTCACCACCACGCCCTCCTACTGCAGGTGGAACAGCTGCGGGGCGCTGACCTGCCTGAGTCCCTCAATTATTCATGGGGACCCACACCCTGCACCCTTTCCCCTCCTGCTTCCGGCACAGAACCAGCATGGGGATAGGGAGGTTCCCCCAGAGAAGGTCTGACAAGCAAAAGGCCTCGTTGAAAGGTGGGCTTAGGTTCGAAGAAGCCACTTACTAACCTCAGGCAACTCTTACCTTTTCTTGGCCCGTTTCCTCACCTGGAAAGTGGGTCTCATAGCCTTCCTATCCCTGAGGTTGTGACTGGGCTCTGCCTGACTCCCAGCTCCACAGCTCCCAGCCCTGCAGCCCTTGGACAATTGCTTAACCTCTTTGACACCTGTTTCTTCATTTGTAAAATAGAGTTGGTGACAACCTATTCCACAGGTGAGGCTTGACGGTGAGGAGTAAATAAATGAATGTATGTGTAAGATCATTTAGGCCAGCAGTCGCCAACCTTTTGGACCTCACGGGCCACCCGTGGTCCGAGGACCACCGGTTGGTGACCACTGATTTAAGCAGTTCTGGATACTGGGAACTCCTCAGGTTGCAGCACCTTCAAGCCTGTAATTTTTATTGAGCACCTACCACATGCCCAGTGAGGCTGCTGCAGCGAAGGACTGGCACATTGTCTTGCACTCTTGGAGCAGGCATTTGAGAAGGGGTGATAGACAATACTCAATCACGTTATGTAAGGAAGGAGGAAGAGAGGGAGGGTTGAAGTGGGGCCTCGTGGACGACAGTGACAACCCTGTCCTTTCCTGAAATGGAGCCACAGGGGGCTCTGGGCAGGGGCACAAGCCCTGATACCTGTCACAGGGGCGCTCCGGCTGTATGTGTGACAGGAGCAGGGAGACACCAAAGAGGCTACATGACTCTCCAAATGGGAGAGAGCGGTGGACAGGACCGTGGAGGGGCTGGGATGAGAGAGGGCGGCTCTGGAAACATTCCGAAGGTGCCACTGCCCAGGTCTGCAGATGTGGATGGGAGAGGAATTGAGGATGACCTACAGGGCTGTGGCCAGGGAGCTAGGAAAATGGCTCCAAATGCTGCAGCGGGCACACCCAGGGGAAGAGCACATTTGGGTTTCACCATCAATGCTGCCTACTGGCCCTCTCCCTGGAGCGGGGGACCGAGAGGTGAGGTTGAAATGGGTCAGGGAGAGGTGTCACTATCCCAAAATCGGGGGAGAGGCCTCAGCATCCTCTCAGCTCCCTGGTGGTCCCCAAGCTACTGAAAGGCAGGCCTGGGTTCAAACCCAGCATTGTCCATGTGCCCTAGGAGTTGCTGGGTATGTCCAGCCATGGCCCCTCTGATCATTTGACACTTCTGAGCAATTGCCCCCACCCACACTAGTTGGCCAGGGCCATCTCCTGTGCTCACAGATCCACAAAGACCATTGTTCTGACCATTTATTAGAGACTTTCTGCTAAGCACTAAGGGGGGTGGGAAGACAGACGGGGTGGAGGCCTCTCTTCTTATCCCATCCCTAGATCCTTCAAGTCCCCAGATGGCCTGCTTCCCATTGGGACCCCCAATGACAAGAAGATCACTGATTCTGAGGCAGCAGGGAAGGAGAGGTGGACCCGGGAGTCCACAGGCCCAGGCGTGGAACTGATGAGGAATACAGATGTCAGGGCAGGCTCAGGACATGTCTCAGGGTCCACGGTCCCCTCAGCCGGCAAACAGCGACAACCCAGGTGGCCGATGAGGATGAGTCCTCAGTTCAAGGCAGGCTGGCCCGGGAGCCTGGGCTTCTGGCGCTGGTTGGGCCCAATATACTGGAGAGGCACGTGGGTGGGGGCTGTGATCCGATCGGTGCCAAGGTAGGGCTGGAGGGCAGGGGGAATGAGGACCGAGCCGTCCTGGGGACAAAGCAGGCCTTAGGATGCTGCCACTGCACTAGCCCTCCACCCCTGCCCTTTTGGGTATAATTCACCATTTTTTTTTTTTTTTTAAATTTCTTTACTGATGTTTATAGAGAGAGGAAGGGAAAAGGAGAAACATCAATGCAAGTGGGAAACATCGATCAGCTGCCTCCTGCATGCTCCCTACCAGGGATTGAGCCCACAATCTGGGCATGTGCCATGACCAGGGATCAAACCAGCAACCTTTCAGTGCACGGGATGATGCCCAGCCAACTGAGCCACACTGGCCAGGGCCCCTCACCTTTTGCTGATTGCTCTCCAGGAGGGCGATGAGAAGGCGGGGAACAGCACAGGCTGTGGCGTTCACCTGGGAGAGACACGCTCAGGCTGAGGCCTGCTGGCGGGCCCCAGGGGTTGAGGTGGTGTGGACGGCTGGGAGTGGAGGCAGGTGCTCACCGTGTGGGCAAAGTGCAGCTCCCCAGCCTCTGTCTGGAACATGATGTGGAGGCGGCGGCTCTGGAAGTCTGTGCAGTTAGAAGCACTGGTGACCTGGACAGGGGGGTGGGGTGAGCTGAGAGGATCAGCTGTGGGGCCAGTGTCATCTTCTTTCCACCCTGCGTCCCCACTGGGGCGGGGGCTCACCTCGCCAAAGCGGCCCCGGCCTGGCATCCAGGCCTCAATGTCGAACTTGCGGTAGGCGGGAAGGCCCAGTTCCTGGGTGGGCATGTCCAGGACCCTGCAGCCATGGGGACAGGCAAGGCGAAGGTCAGGGTGAGGGGAGGAGGGAGGCAGTGGGAGAGAAGGTAGCTAAAAGTGGGCAATGGAAGTAAAAAAGGGAGACAGTGGCAAAGGGGACACCTCATTGAGGCAGTGGGTGGTGATGGAGAAGGTGATACAGGAGGCAGGAAGGAGCTGATGGTAGAGAAGGCCAGGGAGGAGAAAGGACTTGTGGCCGTGTCTCCAGGATGCTCACCATGGCCAGTCCCACTGTCTGTAATAATAGCACCCCAAATATTTGTAATGGGTCACCCCAGAAAAAAAGTCTGTGTTTTTCAGCGTCTTTTGAAAGCTATGTGTGACCGACAGTGAGAGGGGAAGTAGGCTTCCAACATCTTTAAGGCAAGGGGTGTGTCCCCCCTTCTCACCGGGTGGTGAGAAGCCGCCTGGGACTGCAAGAGAGGCAGCACCTTAGGGATGGGGAGCAACAGGAGGGAAGGGGCCTGGGTCTCGACCCTGGAGCACCCTGTGCTGCTGATGCTGTGGTTACAATCCCATAACCCTAGTCAGGACTTAGAGATTGATAGACAGATAGCCTACACGGGGGAAAAGGGGGCAGGGGGAGAAGTGGAGAGGGTTTTCAGAATGGGGGGAGCGTCAGCCCAGCATCTACCTCCTCTCTCCCCCCACCTCAGCCCCACCCTCCTCCGCACCGGAAGTGCAAGCCCAGCTCTGTCAAGATTTCCATCTGCAGGGACAGAAACTCCTCCAGCAGTTGTGAGCTCTGTTCCAGCCCAGGGCCTGTCACCCCGAACATCTCCACCTGGCGCAGAGCAGGGGGCAAAGGAGTCAGGAGACCCTGGGCTGTTGGGTGGCCCCCCTAAGTCCCTGCTATGCCAACCTTGGTGAAGTGGTGCACTCGATATAGCCCCCATGGCTCCTTCCCTGTGTGTGTTTCTGCCCGGTAGCAGGTACTGGAACAAACCATCCTGGGGGAGCAGGGATGGGGGGTTCAGGGAAGGGAGAGGGAACATCACAGGTGGGGGCAAGGTCTACAGGAACTGGCATCACCTGATGGGCAGGTCCCTGAAGGCCACAGCGTGGTCCATGAAGTAGCCTGGGAGGAGAGGGGGACAGTCTGGGTCAGCCAGGGCCACCCTCCATCCACAGGAAACTTGTAGGATTATAAAAGGTATCCCCTCTGGCAGACACAACCTCATGTCTGGCATGTGGCTGGACCCTCACTGTGCTGTTAGGCAGTAAACAACCTGCACAGCTGTACATGTTGGCCCTGGGGTTAATAAGGTACCCTGGGCAGGCAGCCGCCACCCCCCGAGAATACTCCAAGTTGCCCCCTTAAAATTGCTCCTGCTCTGAGGACACTGGAGGTGTACTCACCACCCTTGCCCCAGGCAGGTGCTCACCTGCAAGCCCCACCTCTGCTGTCCCGGCCAGGTTGAGGTCTTCAAAGCGGGAGGGGTCAATGTTGTAAATTTGGGATGGGTTGGCATTAGGTGTCATCCCACAGCCTTCCTGAGGAGGCCAAGCCACAGAGGTCAGGGGACAGCGAAGCACAGCCTCCTCCACTTTGCAGTCACAACCCCTGCTCCTCCCCTATAAGAATCTGGAATCACCCTGGCCTCCCTGTCCCATCCTGACCCCTCAAGCCAGCCCTAGGGCAGTTTCCTAGGGAGACAGGCTGGCCTCTGCCCGGGGTCCCCAGCGCAGGGCCTGATACACAGCTCGGCTTGGAGAGCAGAGTCCTCACTCACAAACACAGCTCCTCGGAGAAGGTCTGGCACTGTCATGGGGGTGAAGCCCTGTGTGGGGAAGGAAAGGGGTGAGTAGCACAGCCAAGACCCCCCCAGACCCCAAGCTCAGGCCTGGAGGGACACTGCAGATGGCCACTGGCACTCTCTTGTCCCTCCAAAGTCCATTCCACTTCGGAGGACACTGAGGAAGGCCTGAGCAGTGGGCTTTGCTGGCCCCGGCCCTGGTGTCCCTGTCACTGGGACCCTCTTCTGGCGCTTCGTGGTTTCCACACTCAGATCATACCACAGATCGTAGTTCTATCATTCCCTCCCCTGCTTAAAGCCTTCCGTGGCTCCCCAGGTAATGTCCCAGTCCTTTGCCATGGCCAATGCCTCATGCATTGAGCCCTGGCCAACCCCCGACCAGTGTCAGTGGATGCCAAGATTCTGCAACACTGTGTACACAGCAGGCAGGCAGGCAGCAAGCGCAGTGGTAACAAATCTAGGCGCTATCCTTGAGCCTACATGCTAGCTATGAAGCCTTCAGCTACTTACTCCCCTTCCAGACCTCAATTTCTCAATCTCTAAAGTGGGGATAATACTAGCACCCACCTCAGAAAGTTGTCATAGAATTAAATGTGTCAATGATACATGTGAAGTTCTGAAAACAGTAACTGGACAGCGGTCACAGCCCCTCCGCACTGCCGTGAGCCTTCGGAGCTCAGCTGCAATGCCACCCCTCCAGGTAGCCTCTCATACTTGGACCATACCCGCTGGATGAGCTTGCTGAGGGTGAAGTTGACCAGGCCATGTTGCAGGAGGGCCCCAGCCCCGCGCAGGTAATAGGAGCGGTGGCCAGACACGTGAGACAGGCGCCTGAGAGACAGATGGGCAGACAGGCGGGGGCTTGTGGACCAGGACTTGGAGGCTGGGGGCGTTGGGGGTGGGAGGAAAGACTGAATACCCAGGGGCAGAGGCCCAGATGCCAAACGGGGAACCGGGTATCAAACATTCATGAGGGGTGCGGCCCAGGTGGTTCCACACCCAGTACTGGGCTGGGGGAGGCAGAGCCGGCAGCCAGCTGTTGGGGTGGGGAGGGCTGGGTGGAAAGGGCTGGGAGGGAGCTCACTTCTGACGGATGATGTCAAGTTTCTCGGCGATTTCCAGGTGGCCCCGGGGTTGGAAGGAGAAAGCTGGATGTGGATGAAAAGCAATGGGCTAAGATGGGGAGAGGCAGGGAGATGGGACAGAGAGAAAGATTAGAAAAACGGCGGGAAGGAAAGGCAGTAAGACAGAAAGGGAGCGAAAGGAGAGAGAGGAAGAAAGAGAAAGGTTAAGATGGATGCAGAGATGGGAGCCAGAAAGAGATTGAAGGCAGGATCAGAAAAGGAGAGGAAGAGAGACGGGAAAGAGAAGGAAACACTAGGTAGAAGGGAGAGAGAATCAGAGAGAGAGGGAGAGAGCCAGAGAGGAAAAGCTCACGAGAGATGGGGCCAAAGCCAGTTGGACAGAGACAGGGGCAGGCCCACAGACACAGGGTGAGAGGACCCAGTGAGGTGAGGGGAGAGAATAAAAACAGAACTGCCCCCGAGAGACAGCCTCCCTGGGCTCCAGCTGAGGAAGAGGAAGCCAGCACAGCCCCAGACCCAGAAGCCCCGCCCCCAGCCTGGGGTGCCCGGGCCTGAGTGTAGCCCACCTGGCTTGTCTCCGATCACGTGTAGCACTCGGGCTTGGCTCTCGTCCCCAATGGGCTGCAGGGAGACAGAGGGCATCACCAGAAATCACCTTATAAAAGGTACCCCCTCTGGCAGACACAGCCTCATGTCCAGCATGTGGCTGGACCCTCACTGTGCTGTTAGGCAGTAAACAACATGCACAGCTGTACATGTTGGCCCTGGGGTTGCCAAGGTCACCAACAGG